TTCTTGACATTGAGCCTCAGTCCATACTGAAGGCTGCAGTCCTTGACCCTTCGCAACAAGTGCATGAGGTCCTCCTTAGTTTCAGCAAGCAGGGTTGTGTCATCTGCATAACGGAGATTGTTAATAGACCTTCCACCAATCCTGATGCCACAATTCTCCTCATAGAGCCCAGCCTCTCAGATAATCTGCTCTGCATACATGTTGAAAAGGTATGGAGACAGGGTGCATCCCTGGCATACACCCTTCCCAATTTTGAACCATGCAGTGTTACCCTGCTCTGTTCTGACTACTGCCTCTTGGTCCAAGTATAGGTTTCGTATTAGCACAATTAAATGTTCTGGGATTCCCATTCTTCTCAGAGTCAGCCACAGTTTGTTATGATCCACACAGTCAAATGCCTTTGCATAATCAATGAAACACAGATAGACATTCTACTGGTATTCTCTGCTTTCAGCCAAGATCCATCTAACATCAGCAACAATATCCCTAGTACCACGACCCCTTCTAAACCCAGCCTGGACTTCCGGCAGTTCTCTGCTGATGTGCTGTTCTAATCGTTTTTGGATGATCTTCAGCAGAATCTTGCTTGCATGTGAAATCAATGACACTGTTCTGTAGTTTCCACACTCAGTTGGGTCACCTTTCTTTGGAATGGGAACAAATATAGATCTCTTCCAGTCAGTTGGCCAAATGGTACTTTAGATTTTTTTTTCCAGGAAAGGTTTCACTGAATTTGTTAATGAAAGCGGTTCAGAAAGGCTTGGGCATCTTCATTCAGTTGTGTTTTCTGATCTGTGACCATGTGCCTAGAAAATACTTAAAATCATAGTTTTGGAGCTTTGTTGACCTGACCCAGGAAGTAAGATAATTGTACTGTGACACAGCCCCCCACCCCCCAATAATTAATGCTTTTAATTTCTAGTTGATTATTGCAAAATACTGGTCATGAATTCCTCTGTGAATTTCACAACTTGATAATAGGTACTGACTCAAATTTTGGAAAGTTGACTTAGAGGGAATGCTAGATTGGGATACTGCCCATCAACCTTGTTTTACACCTGCAGAAAGGAGTGTGGTTGTGGCTTGCAACAATTACAAAGTTATTATTCCCTGAGACACAAGGTATGCTCCCAAGGGAATAGCACCTATAAATAAAGCTGCCAGAGTGGACTGTGGGCGGGTCTGGAGGGAGAGCAGGTTTGGCTGAATGAAGTCTTTTGTAAGGAAGAGGCTGTTCTTTATTGACCTAATTGACAGCAGCTGTTCTTGTAAAAGATCTCATATCACTGAATCCCCTGAGATGGGTGTGGTTGAAGGTTAGAGACAAAGGAGGGCCAAGCAGTGAAGGAGATGCTGGGGTAGATTGATCCCTGATGTGGGAGGGAGCAGGGCCCTTGTAGAAACAGGGTTAAAGTGGTCCAGACATGAGGGGAAGACCGTGGGGAATTCACACAAAGCTACAGCAGGGGAAGCTAAGGCATGAGGACACAAAAGAAGGGAAGCTGGCTCCTTTGAGCACAGGCTTTGTTCCACGTCTTGTTCTATCTTTTATCTCTTGGAAAGGAAGGTCAGTGTGCTGGCAAAGCAATATATCAGTGCCCCACTTACCTGCTTTTTGGCAGTCCTGGACTTCTGGAACGTAGCTGTGTTCCTGGAAATAAGTGGAAAAGGGGTCAGAATTCTAAAGCAGTCTTTCTAAACTTAGCTCCAGGGAGCCTGTGGACCCAGCATTTTATATCCTGGGTGTTTTTCAGGAGAGGAAGTTTACTGCCTGTGGACTTTTGAGAGGGTTCTTATCGACTCACAAGACAGTACCCACTGATTCTAACTTTTAGAAATGCCTCTTTCATGTTGAGTTGGATTCTGGCCCCTGTGTCATAGACACATCACTCCTAGCTCTGTCATTGGGCCACACACACACACAGCCGTGAAAAAGTGGGGGAAACTAGTCATCAAACAGCTCATGTTTCTTCTAGGCTTTTCCTGTTTTGAGCTCCCCATTCATGCCTTTGGCAGTTTTTCGTGGTAGGAGACTGGCCTTCTGATTCTTTGCCATTGTGAGCACCACTTTATCATTTTCCCTCCCAAGAGCTGTGGAGGTTCTGTGTTTGCTCTTTTCACCACAGTGGTTTCTGACAGCAGGACTTCCTGTCAGGCCTGTGTGGCTCGTTCATGGCATCCCACTCCACAGGCTATGATTGATTAAATTAGAATGGACATTGGATCTCCACTGTGGGAGACAAATAGCATAAGAGTACTGAATATCCTATGGACTGCCGGAAGAACAGTTATGTCTTGGAAAAGGTGCAGCCAGAGTGTTCTTTGGAGGCGAAGCTTCATCTTTCTTACTTTGGACGTAGCTCTAGGAGAGGCCATTCCTTGGAAAGGGACATCATGCTTGGAAAGAGGGAGGGTCAGTGAAGGAGAGGAAGACCCCCAAAGAGGTGGATTGATGCGGTGACCTTGACAATGGACTCTAGTGTATCATAGATGGTGAGGCTGGAACAGAATAGGGCAGGGTTCCAATTGACTGTTCATTACAGCAGGGCTTTGCTATGACTTGTACTTAACTCGATGGCACGTAACAACAACTGTTATTCTTTAAAAGAGCCTTCCCCTCAACACACACACACGTACATGCCTAACTCCTGACCTCCTTTACTGTCTTTATTTTTCTCCTTAACGCTTGGCTATGCTAAGCCGCGTTCTCCTGGGACGAAGAATTAAAGAAGCCAGTGAGCTCCACGAGCATAGGGCCTGGGTCTGCATTGCTCGGTGCTGTGGCTCCAGTTCTTAGAGCAGAGCAGTGAGTGACTGAACGATCGGACAACAGTTGTGAGCTTGAGCTCTGTGTTGTCAGCAGCTTTGTTTCCAGCTCCCCCCAAAATGGAGACCGAAGGGAATTTGTGGAGAAAGAGAACAGAGATGAAGGGAGCGCTACAGCCTCGGAGGCCTGGTTTTCACATTGTCCCTGAGCCTCGCTGCTGCCAAACAGAATTCATTCATCTTTTAGCCTCAGCTAATCCTCATTGGATTTCTGTCCCTTTTTAAGAGTTATGCATTAAGAGTTCAGTACGAATGTCAACCTGGAGGCCAGAGCCCGAATCACCGTATTCTAGAACATAAGGTAGCCCAGTGGTTAAGTGTCCAACTGTAAGGTCAGGGTTGATGATTTGAACCCACCCAGTGGTTCTGTGGAGCAAAGGTCTGGGGGTGTGCTCCCACAAAAGCTGTCTGGGGGTGTACTCCCACAAAAGTTTACAGCCTAGAAAACCCCATGGGGAGCTCGACTCTGTCACTCGGGTCGCTATGAGTAGACAGTGTCATGTATAGATGCACGTGGCCAGTTCAGGGCCCAGTGGGGCTACCATTTCCTTTATTCTTGATGCTGGTGAAGCTTTTTTTTTAAATTTTTTTCTTTTTTATTATTATTTTGTGTTTGTGTACCGTCAAATCAGATCTGACTGGTACAGGAGGAGATTGTTCCTCCTTTCTCCAGCAGAGCATCTGATGGATTCGAACCACATACTTCTGGGATTGTAGTTCAGCTTCTTGCCACAAGGCCACCAGAGCTCCCTACTGGTGAAGCTTTTATAGGAGCCTTTTTGTGATATTCTTATATATGACTT